GAGCCGAAGGCAGACACCTATCGACTGAGCCACCCAGGCGCCCCTTGCTTTTTTTTTTTTTTTTTTTTGAATCTTGCTTTAGGAAGAATTTTGTTGCTAATACTCTTATGACTTATATCCTGCTTCATCATTTGTCTTTATTTGTTTTACAAAAAAATAATAAAGATTATGTAATCTTCGAGATTGTTTGCAAGAAACATAAGCCCTCTCAAGCTGTTTATGTTGAAGGGAAACTTGTTTTAAGGAATTAGAGGTGCCTCCTGGGACCGAAGCGTGGCAAGTAATAGTAGACCACACCAGGGCCTCACTTGAAGGCTGGGAAGTCGTCACGAACAAAGGCAGCTGCTTCATCATTCTGACTCCCTCCCCTGTGCTTCTTTCTGCACATCTGAACAGTGCTTTTGCTCACTTGTCATCACACAGGCCCCAGAAGGTATCATACAATCTTCTGGGGAAGAAGGCGGCTTCAGCCCCCACATTCCCGTGACCTCACTGGTCTCGTGTCTGAAGGTAACCAAGCTGGTCTTTGTGTCCCACTTCCCCGGTTCCTGGCGGAGAGGTTGATGGCCTGGCTCAGCTTCTGGATTGGTTCTAGAAAATGGGTTTCCACCCCTGGTTTCATGTAGCTACAGAGACCTGTGCTTTGGGAGGGAACGCTTCTCAGAGAAGAGGGGCAGAGCCTGGAAAGTCCCTGCCCCCCCCACATCCATGGCAATTGTGCTTTGTTTGGCACATTCTAAGATCCAGGGAGAGGCATGGTGCTCATCCTGCTTTCTGCCTACTTGGTTATCCAGGTGTAGATGGAACCCTGTTTGGAAAGCTCAGGTTTAGTGGAATTAAAAAGATGGAGAGCTAGGGGCGTCTGGGTGGCTCAGTCGGTTGGGCATCCAGCTCTTGATCTCAGTTTGGGTCTTGATCTCAGGGTTGTGAGTTCAGGCCCTGAGTTTGGGCTGTGTTGGGCGTGGAGCCTGCTTAAAAAAAAAAAAAAAAGATGGAGAGCTAGAGGGTGTAGCATGACTTGGAAGGCTGTGACTGCCAATTCGTCACTTCGGCTTTTTGCTGGACACTGGGGACCAGTGAACCCAACCATGTTGTCCAAGGA